GCAGCATTATTATACCTAACGCGTATGAAAGATGAGAACAAAAGCTGCCAGTGTTTTTTTTTTTTTTTTTTCATTTGTTATGTCAGCATCTCGACAGGTTTCTAAAAAAAATGTTAAAAACGATATAACCCTTGCATTATGCCAAGACAAAAAGCTAAAGGCTACAGTGCAACCATACCGCTCTTGTTAGAGTAAGTAAGCATGGTGCGTAATTTCGTCGCTTCAAAACAATGCGGTGTTGCAATGCCCGGCAAAAATAAAGCACAAGATCTGTGCCAATTTAGAAGTTTCGTTTTCATGAGCTTACGTGCCATAAGCTTCTCGTTATAGCCTCGTCCCACTAGAGCGACAAACACCGATTTTTGTCCGACGACACCACAAAGTTCCGTGTCGCCGATGCTGTCCCACTACAACGACCAATGCCCGCGACATTCGCCGACACGCGCCGACAAACGATCGACGACGGACGAGTCCTTGTCTGTCGTTGGAGTTGAAACGCAGCAAGCGTCCCACTGAGGAACATGTCTCGGAGACAAACGTATCCTCCTCGCCCGGTTGTGCCTTCTGTTGCCTCCCTTCCCACCCTTCTACCCTTCCTCCCGTTCCTCCCGTGGCTCGCTTCGCCGCTCGACCTTCAGAGAAGCCCTTGGCGGCCACTCCTCGTTCCCGCAGTTCCGGTCCCTCGATTGCTCGTAGTGGTCGCGGGCGCGGCTTGCGTGCTTGCGCCGGGCGGTCGGGTTGCGAAAGGGAATTTGCTGTGGTTGTTTTTTCTCGCGAAAACTTGGTGCGTGAGGTGGTGCTTCAAGACGCCGAGGTCTACGGCCCTGCATCAGGATGGATACCCACTCATGTTCGAGGACTAACCAAAGTAAGACCTCTCAACACGAAGTAGGACACCACGTTCCGCGGCAAGCCATTCCGGCAGACGAGAGACTTGTCATCACGTTCTGTGATAATCGGGATGCCTTATTGTCCTCCAAAAAAACGCCTTTCCTTGATCATTCGGATACGAGGTTATAAACATCCTCGAAATCGGCGTGAAGTTCCGTGGCGCTCACCTAGAATTCCTCGAACGACTCAAAAAAGGAACGATTCGGGTATTCTAACTCGGAAAAAGCTTGGTCTCGATTGTCACGACTGTTTGCGGAAGGTCGCCAACGGCAAATGAAGACAAGTGAATGCTTTAATCAAGAAATAAAGTAATCGTTTCCTCTGACACCGTGTTTGTCGGCGCGTTTTATGCCCAAAGAGCAAAACACGAAAACCGCGTCGCCAGACTTAGTTTGTCTGTGTATTTCGAAGTGTTTTGTTGACAACTCCAGTCCCACTAGGAAACAAGTATCCTTGTCCCTGTGTTCTGCGTCGTGTCCGCCAAGTGGGACGGCGGACTTCGACAAACAGGCTGTCTGTCGGTGTCGTCTGTCGCTCGTTGTCGTGTGTCGCTGTCGTTTGTCGCTGTCTGTCGCTCTAGTGGGACGCGGCTATTAGAGCATTCAAAAGCAAATGCGGGATACAGGAGAATCGCAGATAAAACTGGGCAGAGCTTGTAGATAGACACAAGCCTGGACATACTGGTTGGATGCAAATATCGAGATCATCCATATCAGGCTTGACTAACAAACTTTCTTGTTTGACATCTCAAACATGTACGCCCGTATGGAAATTTTATATCTGGGCCATATCTGGCCATATCAAACATTATATGATTATATACGGCCTATATACAAACTTATCTGGCGTATATACAGACTTATCTGGCGTATATACAGCCTGATATGGCGTATATACAGACTTATCTGGTGTATATACAGACTTATCTGGCGTATATACAGCCTGATATGGCGTATATACAGACTTATCTGGCGTATATACAGCCTTATCCGGGGAATATGAAGTCTTATCTGGGAATGTATACAGCCTCATTTGAGGTATATATATACTTTGTTATCTGTCGTATACAGCTTTATCTAGCGGCCGGTTTTTAATTAATTGTGTATAAATAAGTTAAATAAATGAAGGACGTTTACAACTCCAATGCTGAATTGGCTCTCTTTTTGAGAGGATCCGGAGGGGATATGGTATGCGCAGGCCTCTCCTCCTCCCTCATCTGCTCCTCGCCTCCTCCCGCTCCATCTCAAGCGGTGCATTATGGGAAACGTACCATATAATGCAACGCGCGCGTCACCGCGGTGTGCATTAATTATGGCACGTTTCTAATAATGCACAGCGCGGTTACGCCGACGGCGACGCGTCACGCCGACGCCGGCGTGCCGTAACAAGTCGGCGTAACGCTTTTTCGTGACGCGTCGCCGTCGGCATAAAGCTTTTTCGTGACGCGTCGGCGTCACCGTAACACCTTTTCGTGACGCGTTACGCCGACGGCAACGCCGCTTAAGCCGGAAACAAACGCCTAAGAGCTGCGCTAAAAAAAAAAAAAAAAAAAAGTTAAGAAGTAATTTGTTAATTAGCTAATTCGTAAATTACTAAATCTAAATAGCACAAATAATCCCAAACCTTAGCTTTGGCAAGCTTAAGATTGGGATTATTTGTGCTAAAGTTCGCGAGGATTTCAATTTCAATCAATTTCAATTCGAAAACTAACATTACGTCCGAAATGTTCGGGAAACCCATTTTCTCGGAATCGTAGACGATTCACCAAGTTCACGAAAATTCAGTAATTTACAGCATCAACTTTCCTGTTTGGCATTCCAGGGCAAAACAAAATAAGTCAGATAATTTAGATATTTAACAACCGAATATTCCCCTGGGTTTGTATTTCCTAATATTATTGTTAGGAAGGTGATGCTTTTACATTGTGTACTCGGTGCTATATAAGTGGACGAATAGAATTTCTAATTTGTTTTGAAATGTTTAACAATACTAGCTGTTTTAGAAAAAAATACACTATTTTTCACCTCTCAGCAAACATTTCAAAAAGCGTTTGTCCAAGTCAGTATCTAATATGTAACTTTTCACTTTCCTAACATTAATTTTGGAGGAAGTATATATAAGACTGTGTCAATATTTCATTGTTATCTAAATGAATTAGTTTATGGCAGTCATACTTCGCCCTCGAATGCCCAACTAAATATGACAGCAGCCACTTCGGACTATTTGCCTTTTTATTTTAATAAATAAAAGCTGCTTTGAAGCAAATCAAGACAGCAGGAGACATGACCATTGATTCAAAGAATAGAATTATTACAATTGATAAATTTTCACTCAATATTCTTGCCCCTTTTTCCTCATCAAGTAGTCTATTTGGGTAGTTAGAGGAGCCTTTTTTTGAAATGCACAATTATGACCAGTCTTCCATTAAAAATTTGCAGTTATAAGACTGCAAACCTTTTTTTCCCCACAAGTCTACTGTTTTTTTACATTGGTATGATCTTACATCTAAATATATGTGAAAAAGCACGTGAGAAAAAAGAAATACATAACCAAAATTGTCTTTCGAATTACCGAAAAGTACATTAACATACATAACGTGTACTGAGATTATTATTTATGGTTTGATCAAATCGGCTCAATTTTCATTTGTTGTCATGTGCTACATAGTGTACACCAACAAACGACAGGAAAAAAAGGCTGCTTTATGGGAGTCTGACAAATGTACCAGCCCCCCCCCCCCCTTCAGTTTGGGTTGGTTAATGTTGACAGTGCAGGTTAATTTGATATGCATGTGGTACAAATAAGTCAGAGAACTGCATTGGGCATAACAAATATTTTTTTATCTCCACAATTCAACTTCATGTAAATCACACATCGAAAATAAACATGCTTAAACACATAAAAACATGGCTTCGTCAGGTTCTGACAAACACAGTCAAATCACAATTATTCAGAAAACTTCTAATTTGCTCAGCAGTGGAGAAAATGACAGATTTGACGCCTGCTTCGAACACACCTAAACATTACTTGTTGCAAAGCCACACACTACCAGACATGATTTGGTCCAATCCTGACACACGCAACCAAAATCTGGATTCCACAAAACACGCGGCAAAGGATGCAACGGGATGCTACAAACACCAAAACATCACTCATACAGCAATATCTCGAACGGATGACTATTTAACAAAAAAAAAAAAAGAGGCGAATTTGACAGATATGTTTACACCTTGTTTCTCTGAGAAGGAGAGCGGACGGCCTCGCGTCTTCTCCACCTCGCCGCCTTGAGAGGGCAAAGCGAAGTGAGGAGGAAACGAGATATCTTGACGTCACATGATTTGTCCGCCTGGTTCAATCTCGACCTCTTTTCCCAAAAATATGGCCGTCCATTCGAGATATCGCCTTACGAGTAGTGTTGTAGCGATTGTAACATCCCACCTACATCTCCTGCATTTTTTTTTTGTTTTTTTTTTAAATCCAAATTTCGGTTCACCATTTTTTAAAGCAGACTTCACAAAAATTTTTCCTCAATCAGCGGGGAAGGGAGGTAGTTTGGTAAATACCGTAAAATACCGAGCATCCGCCCATTTCACATTAAGTGCCCACCCCCACATTTTGTAAGACCTGGAAAGATATGCACAGTACAAATATATGTAAAACTTATGACCACACATATGACATTTTGTTGTTTCGTTTTGCTTTAAGCTGGGAGCCAAAGTGATGTGTAAGACCATCTAAGTCCACCATCAAGGCACACCATGCGTACCAAGTTCATTTGTGCAATACATTTTTGAAAAGTGTTTAAGATCAAGTGGAACCACACAAGAGTTTTTGGAGAAACCAAGGTAATAGTAAATTTGGGCGTTTACGTGCCAAACATACGAAGGGTATCTGGCACACCCAAGGGGGGACTGAGGATTAATTCAACCACCTGGGGACCTCTAGATGTGCAACCAAAAGTTTGGTTACACGGCGCCTTTTCCGCAATAAGCCTCTGTTATATTGCGGGCAGCTCAGGACAACATAGCAAAGGTTCTGATCATGTGCTGCAGCTCAATGTCCAGGGGGCATGTACAGTAACAATTAGGAAAAGAGCAGTCTACTGGGCTTTACAAATTCATCTCAAACAGATTCGGTGTTGAAACAATGTAATCGAGAACAAAAATACACTTGTGGAGTTCTGTTTGGGGAAGGGGGACAATGACAAGCTGATTGTCGGCGGAATACACAGGGATGAATTGGGAAAGTGAGTAGTCCATGCTCTCGTGTACTATTGTCTCAGAATCATCGATAAAAAACTCGTTGAGGACAGCATACACTTCCATGCTGTTCTTCACAAAGCACTCAATGAATGCATAGCAAATACCGTTTTCAGTAGTACATCTGACTGTTCTGTTATTTCTAAGTTTCTGGTTTTCATAAATACTAGATGTGAAAGTGACACAACCAATCGTTGCCCTCTTGTAGATCAATGCATTGTCGAACATAGACTGGGTCGATAAGAAACTTGCTATCTTTCTGTTCGCTTGACATGGGCGTCCATGGAGTTTTACAGATCCGTCTGTAGTCTGTTTTGGAAAATGAACATTCCGAATTCTGTTCAAGACAGAAAATGCAGTAGAGCCCTTATCCATGCGTCGCTCAATTGAGTTAAGTGCATTTCCGATCCCGACAAGAGTAGCAAGTTGCTTATCGATTGCCCTGGTGCCTTGGATAACTCTAACTAGTTCACCATTTCTATCTTCAAAAAGAAATGCAGACGTTGCCCAGAGGGGGCCCCAACGTCTTGCAGAAAGACCGAGATGTGTTAACTGGTGCATGTTGAAAGTTAAAAACTGTGGTCCATAAAGTGATGCGGACTCTTCAACAAAGCGACTAAGAAAAGTTTCGGCCAGATCAATTTCGTGACGTCTCACAGACTGCTTCAACAGCATATGGATGGCGGAGACGAGGAGGACAAAATGTTGCAGATGAGCCAGTGGAAGAATGCCAGAAAGTACTGGAATAGAATAAAAAAGTAGCCATGCCCTGAACTCACTTGCTTTCCAATACATTCTATGCCTGACAGAGCGCGGCGTTCTAGTGATAAAATCGGGTGGCTGGATGGCCAGCAGCCTCTCGTCAATTGTTTTCAACTGTCGTCCGAGATACCATGGCTCTGCATGATACTTACTGTCAAACCAGGTGGCCATTAGCATTTTCACTACCCCTAGCAGTACACAGTGCATGTAATCTATTACAAAACTGGACGCCAAATCAAAACGGGGAATCAAACTCAATACAGACGGCCCTTTTACGCCCTGTACTACAGTTTGGCTATTCACAGCCTGTACGGCCTGCTGCTTCATGCCACTCCCCGTTCGCAAAGCATGCGTACCCGGAACATAAATCCATGATCGGGAGGAGCCATTGCGCTGACAAGTTTTGCCAGGGGCCTCACATAGAGAGCACCCATGCAAGCCATTAAACTGGCGAATATTCTGCAGCAGAGCCTTTGCTACGGCGTCCACAGATGTGACTGGTGCAAAAATACGGGATATCAGTTGTCGTCCAGTTACAGGATGAGTCCATCTCAAACCCTGCAATGCGAGTTTTTTCACTTCCAAACAAAATGGTCGAAGAAAGGTATTAACGTCAGGCTTTGAGCCACACCAAAGGAGAGTCAGTAGTTGAAATTTCTTGCGTAGTCGGGGGGGCAGTTCAGGGATTACACAGTGCAAGGGCCACAAGGAAGAGGTTGAGCTTTTGAACACCTTAACACCATCAGTGTTCCAGAACAAAGAGAAGTCATATTTGCCGCTTCCAGACCTCACCTTCTTGTATTCATCCCCATCTGTTAGATCACTGTAGGCATCAGAAGTGCCATGGTTGGGTGGTGAGAAGTATTCATACATCCTTTCATCCTCTAAGAATGAGCGCAGCGTTGGAGCTAACTCTATCTGTAAAAATCTGCCGCAGTTGATAAGTGATTTGGTGCACAATGGACAGCATGCGATTCCAGCGGAAACAGAGGTGTGGCAATTCTTGCAAAAGAAATGTTCTTTTGCTGTATCACCGGATCGATACTTGGAAAGGAGCTTGAAAAAGGTGTACGTCGTTGACGGAAGAGAATGTGGGCGGGGCAGAAATAAGTTGAGAGCAAATAACAAAGCTGAAAGAAACTCTCGCGTGAGGTTGAATTTGAAGAACAAGTTCATCAGGATGACACAAACTTCAATGCAGGACATAGAACACCCATCAAAAAGGGGAGTGTGGGCCAAACCTTCCTGTACATAGCTGTCACCTGGGCATTGTTCACCGGAGGAGGTACTGTCTCCGTCATCGGCTTCATCAGAACTTGAAACACTGATGTCCGAGCAGATGCTCCTCTCTTCTTCGGCATCACTTGCATCCTCTGCACCACCCTCTTGCTGAAGAGGAATTGGGCTGCTTGCAAGCTGATCAGGGCTTGCGCTGTTCGGAGGTTCGGAACAGCCTGCATCTTCAGAAAGCTGGTCCCACCGAGCTTGGGTACGTCGTGGGACCTATCAAGTTGGAAAAAGAAAACATAAAACATGTTTCTTTCATTACGAGTACTGCAATTTCAAACATATCTATAAAAAAATAATGAACCTTTAAAACGAGTTGCAGAATTTATGCTAGCAGAGGCGACATTCGGTAGATATCCGTGCCCCAACTTTGCTATCACCAAGAACTCAGCAACAATGAGCTCAGATGGTGCAGCGGTTAGCATGCTGGTCTAGGCATTTTTTTTATCGTGTTAAATATCCAGATTTAATTTGTGTCTTGTAAACAGTTCACTTTCTTTTGCTATTATAACTTGTGCAGATGCATGACAAGTACAAAGCAAGTAGCTGGCTCCCGAGACGTTCACTTCGTTTGAATTTCGGGAAAGAAAGACGAGCCTATTCGCAACTTTCACGACCTATAGGGGGCGTACTGGCGCCTATCAAAATGGCTGCTATCTGGATGATCGTCGTAGAAGAGCAGCAGGAGGCTGGGCTTGCGACGCGTGAGTAATTCCAGCTTTGCTGTAAATGAGCTGTAATATAGCCTAAGTTCATTTTTTGCACGTCAGGAAGGTATTTGCAAGCACCTTTTTTGTGAAGCCGATCATCCAGGAGCTAGGGAGCGCTATTCTCACACCGCGGTACCACCATCGCTGAAAGTTGCGAATATTTTGCCGGCAGCTGGCAGAGTTGTCTGGGCGGACAAATGCTGGCAGTTTTCTCCCATTTGCGGGCTGCAAACACGTCACTATAGTGTCGGCATTATATATACATGGGTTTATAGGGTATGGCAGCCAGAGAAAAAAAATTGCCGGCAGTTGTTCTACGTTGGCTGGCATATTTTTGTGGTTGTTACTCTGCCAGCAGATGGAAAAATAGGCCTGGAAACAAAATGCCAGCTGACAGCTCGGATCAAAATTGCTAGCAGCACTCATTCTTTGTGTCTACATCATGCCAGCTGCAGTCGATGTATGCGAGTACCATGCCTACTGGGACTGAGCAGAAATCGTAACTGTCAATTTGGATAAGTTTGCCGAAAAGATTCCCGAGTATAATTACTTGCTAAAATATTACACATTTGTACAGCGTAAGTTGTCTGCCAGAGGAAGGCATCATTTTCTACATGCAGACAAAAAATCTACATATAGCCTGGTGCTACGAATATACGACGTACTGTGCGATAGCAATTGCAGTACACTAGCCTAAGCCAAGGCCTAACCCCCTTCTCGATAGAACAAAGCAGCGGTGAACCTTTTGAAGTAACTAGAAATGAAAATCTTTCTAACCTTGCCTCTAAATTGTCACGCTGCCGGGAGTGATTGGAACGTCGAAAAAATTTCAATCATCCATACAGTAGGTTCAGCCTACAGAAGCGGCAGACCCTTAGTGGAACGATCCGCTTGAGTGTGAAGCGCGAGACACATGCGCGAAAAAGCCATCCGATCCGACGTGCGAACCGCCGGAACGACGTCCGAGGGCGAGGGTTTTCGTCGCACCGGAGCGTCGGACGAGGCCTCCGTCCGGCGCCGGCGTGCGTCCAACTTGCCAGATATCGCCGCACGCACGGTCCGATTTTCGGAAGGCCGCATTGGCCGCAGCCAATGAGCACGGATGGCGAAGGTCATGTTGTCAAGTGACTTTCGGACCGATCGGGCGAGGAGGCGCGACGTGGTTCGGGGAAGCGGATGTAGCGGTGCACGGTGCGTCACGCGACGCGAGTCGTCGTTGTGAAGGAAACGGACGCCATCGAGTTTTCCCGCGCGTACAAAACGAGCTGCTGATTTCGCGCGCCAAAGCAAGCCGGCCTTCTGGGACCGATCGAGCCCGTCGAAACCCGAATATACTCCGTTTCACCTTAGGATGGACAGCAGCGGACGCTACGAGCCATTCTAATGTCATGTGAGCTTCGGGAGAGACGCAGTTATGTGCGCGGTACGTAGTCACGTGATTTTTACGCAGTGCTCGTTTCGCTGGGATGGCTCTAAGGTCCGCTGCGGTCCTTCGCGATTAAGTGATTTTGAGCAGCAAAATAGCCTCACGGAAAATCTTCACACACGCACACTTTAATAGAAGGTAATAAAAATATTATGTTTGTGTTAAAGCCAGAAAAACCAAGAAGGGCGAGGGAAGTATTTTAGTTTTCTAGGCTAGGTGGCGCGAGCTACCGCCCGTTATAACTATAGCCATTAGTATCCATCCATCCATTTGGTAGAGGGACATCCGAAACTGGGCGGAGCTGAACGGAGCGACGCAACGACGCGTCGGAAACCATGTGTCGCGAACCGTCCTGTGCGGCGATTCTGAGCAGCCATCTTCCCGACAGTTCGCACGCCGGATCGGACAGTTCTGACGCGCATGTGTCTCGCGCTTGACGCAGGTACTTACGACTTCGCTGCTGCTTGTCAAATACTTCTTGTAGGGACCGCGCTTCTGCCTGTTCATTCTGGAAGGCTGTGCAGTATGACCAAGTACCAGGATGCCAACACGGGTAACTCGACCTTTAGTAGAGCCGCAAACAGTGGCAAATCCGCGCCATTTGACCACGCGTAAACGCTTCCACGCAAAGCCCTCTTCCGACGCCCGCCCAGCCGAGTGCAGCGTGCGGCAGCTCCAGCCACCCCGCCCGCCTCTCCAGCCACAGCCGGCTGCGCGAAACCACGTGTAGCCGAGTCAGTCCAGAGGGAATTTTCAGTGTTTTATTAGGAGCAGTGTTCATTCATAAATAATCAAGTCGGTAATTCAATTTTTTTATACAAAATATAACTCGATTATTGACTTTTTAAAGATTTATTCTGTTTTTGAATGGGTTGGCGGCTGGTTAATTGCGTTGGAATTTCGCCCCGTTTGCTGGCAACAAGAGCAGCCGGCGCGAAGCTCTTCCTGGAAAGTACTCTACCCGCCCGGCGATAGTTGCAGGGATGTAAAGGGAGAAGTAGTATGGTAGAAAATAAAAATAAAACATGTTTCAATTACATAATTCAAGGCTGGGTGGCTTAAGCTACCGCCCGATATAAAAGCAACTGCGGCGAGCAAGCGGATCTCGGCGGGAAACACCTCGGCCGCGAGATCGTATTTGCTTTTTGAAACGCGTCTCGTGGTTGTTAGTCAATAAATAAAGTACGTACGCTTCTCGGTATTTTCTTTCCCTTTCCTCGAACGCCCAGTCTCGTTCGTGAAGCAACAAGGAATTTCCGAAAGCCGAGGGAAAGGCGACGCAACCATCGCCGCGAGTAGCAGACGACGCTGCGCATAAAACGGTGCACCGACCTCGCAGAGAGCAGGCGTCGTCGTATTTAGACATTCTCCGTTCGTTGTGGCGCATCTAACTGTTGATAGTTGTCAAAAAAAAAATGGTTTTACATAATGCATTTTCTATCTTCCTTGAAACTGTTGTGGGTACACTATAGTTGCACGGGCGTCAGCCTTCCCCCAACACCAGCACGCCTGTACATTTCTACCTCCCCAAGTGCAATAAATAATACCAAATTCGCAATAAAACGCACGTGGTAGCCATACGACTAGCAGATGACGGGAGGATCGTCGAAGTCGACGTGCCTAATTCTACGAAATTGTGACTGCGGTGAGGGCTGCCGTCTTCGCACGCTGATTTTCAGGAACTTTGGGGGTGGAGAAGAATTCTACTCGTAGAGTTTTAATCGTTTCGAGCTCTCTTGGCGCAGTTGCTACGCCCACACGGCATAATGAACCATCGCCGGAATGAACGAAACGTTCCGCGTTCAGAGCTTGAAATGCTGCCTCAGGTGTCGTGACGAATCCTTTTCACGCGTGCACGTAAAGAATATCGCGTTGAACATCTGCTTGGCTTTCTACAACGTTCTACACGTTCTACAAGGACTTTGTAGCCACAATTGGTAGGTCGAATGTACGGCAGACAGCAAAATATCTACCTTTTAAAAATGGCGAATCGACTGTGGCGCACCCTGGATTTTTGTTTTCTTCAACCCCGGTACCAACGCCTTGAAACCATAGAGCTTGAAACCCAAATTGCAATACAAAAAAAATTACTCGTCGCGAAAAACACGAAGTATAACACAGTGTAAAATGTAATTAGTCGAACTAAATTACTATTAAGTAAATACATTTCTCGGCTTTTCTTTTTGTGCGCTTTTATCGGTCAAGCACAAAAAGGTTTTAATCTGAAAAGATACCAGCCAATCCAATCCGTTGAGCAGTCCATTGTGTGTTTACCGTTCTCTGTCAGCTGTAACTTAACGCAACGCAATATGACTGAACGCATCGACGCCGAGTTTGTGCTCGTCTATTTCGAAGAGGAGAACAAGTACGATGTTGTCGGCGACGTCTACATAGAAGAGCTGTGCGATTCGGCAGCGCCCTTAGCCGTAGGAGCCATAGTCCACGTGCTGTGGCAGGACAGGGGTGCCTTCCCTGCTGTAGTAATGGGCCTTTCCGGTAAGAACCCAGCTTCATAGTTCTTAAATGTAAAACGTTTATTGAGCAAATGGTGCAACTGGCAGTTGCGTTAAGGTAGGGTCAC